ACCTTTTAAAGTGATGTGCATTCCCCACCATCCCTGTGTGCCCAGAACAGCCATCACTAAAACATGCTGCTTCAGTGACTGTCATATAAAGGATTCACGAGCATGCCATCACCATCTTGACCCACCATCCCCGGCTGCTGTATGACTTTCCAAAATGCTAGAAGTTATGACACCAGGACTTATTTGCCACATGATATTTCACTTAAATTCTTGCATAAAATTACAATGCATTCATTTAAAAGTAATCATACCTGGTTTTGAGGAGTATTAAAACTGGCTTTAATAAATAGAAAGCTAAAGCAAAACCCCATATAACAGTAAGTTACAAATTCTTGTAATGCGAAACACAGGTTGAGGCAACCTTCACTATAAACACAAAGTTGCACTTATTATTCCTCTTTGTTATCAACCACTACATTTCTGTAAACCCTTACACAGGGCACAGATTTCTGTAAGGCATCTTGACATAACTGCTCTGTTACATGACACAGACGTTTCTTTCAACTTACATCTTTCTGGTTGGAGTGGAAAAACCTGAGTGCAAAATTGCAGGATTGGGATGCAGCAGCGTAATGGCCCAGTGACTCTGCATAGCGTGTCAGAAGATAGCTGCAACACAACACAGCGCAAGTCAAATACCAGCACACAACCCTGCGGAAACCTGAATTTCAAACACAGCTCTAAACAGCGAACTCCAGCACAGTCCAGCTTTAATGAAAAGTCTGGAGATTTAACAGATGGCAATCACAACATTCATATTAAAATTTAAGCTTTTAACAGTAATGGAAGGAACTCTTAATTTTTTAAAAAACAGTATGTAGGGGCTTGGAGTTCCTCCATCCACCTTGCTAAGCGTACAAGAGCTTTACTTAATTAGATACCCACAAACACACTAACCAAGGCACAGCCATTTGCTATGTTTGTTTTAACGAGCGCTCCCAAGCTTTGCTGAGCAATGACACAAGCCAGAACACCAAGCTATGACTGGCATCAAGATATACATTCCACAAATTTCTTTCAGATTCCCTTTAGTTAATACTCTGAAAATCCAAAACTGATCAAAATTGCACAGGAAAGATACTCCACGAGAAAGGGAGCATACTTCAGCATGTGTTTCATGTAATTCCAAAACACTTTTACACAACATCATATGGAAGTCTGACAATCTGCTAACTTTCAGTAGCAAAGGAAATTGAAGATCTCAGGACTGGTTACTGGAGGGTCACCGTCACCAATTATTCTCAGTATATACTACCCACCCGATGGTGTCGTGCTGTATGTGTTTTGCATCAAGGCTGGAATACAGCTCTGCAACAGGTTCAAATGCACCAAGCCTGCAGTAGATTCGAATGAGCAGCAATTTAAACTGAGCATTAGAAGGACTATGAGATAACCCTTCTTCTAAGAAAGTTAGGCACTGCCACACTGCTGTCTCTTCACCTGGTGACAAAGACAAAACACAGTCAGGCATGATCAGAGAGGCACTGAACACCGACAGCACAATTCATTTCAGCTTTGAAGCTTCCTTCCTCAAGTTACACACCTCTCAAAATGGTCCCATGCATTTGAACATGCAGATGGCATTCATCAGCCACATTGCTGCCCTTAAAACGTAACACCCACCCCAGCATTATAGCTGCTCTCTGAGGGAAAGGTGTAGAAGTAATTCCTCACAGGGGATATCTAGCTCACGTTTGTATAGAGCAAAGCACTCACACACGGGCACACTGCAGAAGTGACCTTCCCTGATGAGTCCTGGGCTGTTCACGATTTCTAGCTTAAACGTACAGAGCACTCCCAAGCATTATGCAAGAGAGCAGCACAGAGCCAGGAATTCAGGAGCCCACGCTCCACTGGTGACCTGCCAGGAACCTGATGATGGACTTACTCAGGTTAAAGACTAAATCTTCCTTGGGAAAGACAAAGGCGTAACTGACAGCTACACTCTAGGGCAGGATTATAAACAGCCACCATTAGAGACCGACTCTGTGGGATTAGGAGACTAACAGGCAGAGCAGATGCAGAGTACAGGAATACTGAAGACAGGACAACAGGTCTCAGCAGAAGGTTTAGAAGCAGGGAATCCAAAAGACAAAGTGTGTCAGGGAGGGAAAGAAATACTCTCAAAACACCTCTGATATCAGAAGGGAATTGTCAGCAGAACTTGTGCAAAGGGAGAGAAAACATTACGTACATGGGAAACTCGGAACAAGCTTCTGAAGACAGCCAGCATTGAGCTGCAAGTCTCATCAGCAAAACTCTGCCAGGACTTACAGGAATTAATCAGAAAAATTAAATCCCTTTAGAGGTCAGTGAGGTTCATATCAAACACCAACTGAATAGAGGGATTCCTGAAATACCTCATATTGAGGAAAAAAAACCCCAAAACCAGAAAGCTATGAGCCTAACAATCCATGCCAGATATACACTGGCCACAGGGACACAGTCTCCCCATCATGATCCATCCAGGGTGGTATTAAGCAAGACACAATTTTAGGAACATACCTTCTAGCCACAGATCAAGCAGCAGGTGAACTGCAAGCAGGCAGTAGTAATCTGAAAACTGTAATTCAGTTTTCAAACAAGATTTCCCTAAAAAGAAAAAAGTTACCCTTGAATTACTGACAGTGCTGTCATCTGCTTCTCACATTGTCAGCATTATCAAATGACACAGCTATCTGGCAGACGATAATCACAGCTTAATTTATAAAATCCAGAGTTGTCTTAAAAACTCAAACAACTGTATACATGCTGCATTTTTTCATCACATGAGTAGACTTTGGGCCACTTCATATGTTGACATCTGCTGGAAGAAGAAAAGACTCTCCTACAACTGCAAGATTTACAAATTAGTATTCTTGCCTGTGTATTTGTCCTATGTATACCAGTGATAAAGCCTGGCTTTGCTTAAAGGCACAGGCAATTTTGCAAAGATACAAACACACCATCTGAACTACCCAGGAATGTCTCATTTATCTTTAAGATACACAATTGAAAAGAAAAAAAATAAAAGCAAACAGATAATTCAGGTATGCCCAAGGATATTATCATAAAGGAGAAAGCAAAGTATTATCTAGCAGCACAATGGGTGCCATCAGCATTTGTGCTGTTCCGTCCCCCTGAAAAAGCTCTGAACTTTCGCTCATAAAAAGCTGCAAGTGAACTGCAACATTAGTTTCAAGATTTTTCTCACCAAACTCCAGTCCATGGCGATATCTTAACATCAATTCCCGGACCACAGTCAGCTTTTGCTTCTTATCCATGGCGTGATAGATGCCGAGCAATCTTGAGAGCTGCACCACACACAAGTGTTGTTGCAGGGCTTTGATATCAGCTGGCAGCGCGATTTCATTCTCTGCTGTTGCTGACAGAGGGATTACTTCCAGCAATTGACTGATGAACTGAAAGAGAAGCACTCTTGTTAAATTCTGCAGGGCATCTGGGACTGCACAAACGGAAAGCATTCGTTTCCTCCCTCAAATCAAGCAAAAAAGCAAGGTGGAAATGTCAGTATCAACGCTGACATCACACTGAAATCAGTGATTAAAGAGCTGGCTTCGATTTTTTTTTTTTTGGAAAGGTGATGAGCACAGTTCTGCTTGCGCTCAATAGCTTTTAGTAAGTTTCATCAAACAGATGGAGGGAAAAAAATAAATCACAGGCAAGTTTCCAATACATTGACACACAAGGGAGTTCAAGCACCTGTTAACACTCACAGTAATAACATACACAATTAAAATAATTAGTTACTGAAAGGCTTCACAGCACACTTCCAGGAAATAGTGGTTTTGTACTAGCTATTACATTTTCTCTCAATTCTGTAGTAATGCACTGTACTCAGTGAGGTCATCATCTTTGATTAATCACTTATTTTTTGAATTAAGTTGTAAGAAAAGCAGCCTCTCATTGTTTACAAATTTAATAGGAGACAGCAGACGTCTCACAACATGCAGTCAGGGCTGGACAGTAGGTTTTTGTTACCCTAAAATCCAACAGTGTTTACAAACTTAAAACTGAGTTAAAGCCAATGAATTCAGCTTTACTACATTTGGTCTTGAAACACAAGAACTGCATCAAATGCATGCCTGAGGAAAAAAGCATGACAGCTAGACAGAAGGAACACATAGCACCATGCACACAAATTCCAGTTTTCCCATAGACTTTGATGAAGACACTGCTGACAAATCTTTTCAGCTTGAGATTTTGCCAAGCTGAGCAAGGTCAACTGAATCACTAGGCTGCATACTCCGATTTACGCCTCTAGGAAGTCAAGATTGATGTAACGACGATTATTTCTGGAATATCTCGTGTGTCTAGTGGCCTAGCAAGATCACCACATTCTCAGCTACTGAACCGTAACACTGTTCAGAACTTCTAAAGAAAAAAAAATGACCTCCCCAGCTGTGTATAGCCTCAGTGTGACCCTGCTACTTTACCTAGGATACAACAACCTTCAGCATCTTTTGCTGTGAAACAAGAATAAATCTAAGACAATCTATAAATATTTTCTTTCAGTAACTTAAACTTTCAGATTTCAAAAACCCATCAGCACTTTTGGCACCAACCCTCCTCAGCTACACATCTCCTTGACTGAGTCAAACTGCTGCAGATGCACGCTTCAGACACAACAGCTAGAAGACAGCCATACACTGGAAAGACCCTCTAATACATCAGTATGACACCATGATATATGCGCTAAATCAGCAGCAGTTTTAAGGTCAATCAGAAAATTTTAGAGAATTTATTCAAGGTCATGGTTTCACAAGCGCTGCGACAAAACTGTAGCCTAAACTATTATTTTTAAATACCATTTCCCCCGCTCTGGGTTTAGAATTTGTTTCCTGGAAAGCTAGGATTAAACCTGTTCAGTGCTTCAGGACTTCAGGGTTACCTTGCAATGGTATCACCATTTCCAGAACTACGAGTTAAATAGCCCGCTGACCACATCCCTTGCCAGTGGAGTAAAAACACACCTTTTAACATAAAACATCAGCAGCAACCCATACATGCCAAGGCCGCCATTCTCCTTATTAGTGAGACTGTGGGAAGAGCTTGCATTAAAAGTAAAAAAATTTTTAATAAACTAAGAAAACACCAACACTAGCTACACTTTGTTTACAAAGATTTTATCAGCAGCCTCTGGCTGATCCAGGATTCTCTGTCTAGCCCTCCACAGCTCTGATAATTTTACACAATGCCTTATAAAAACAATGGGGTGAGTGACAGGATTCCCAGCTGCTGAAGTCATTCAACGAGCTGCTCATGACTCTGCACAAATAGTCTTTTCAGTTAAAGGGAGCTTGTTTCAGAAAGAGATTCTGGAAAAGTTGCCATAGGTCTCTCGGTCACCCCTTGATCAGTATCAATGTGTCCGTTCTTCAGCACTGCAGCAGAGCCAAGCAAAACATCTGTGACGCCCTACCTGCATCGTATGAGGGAGAAGATTTTTCCCATTAAACATATAATTTTAATGGGAAAAACAAGTGATGAGT